CATGGAATGTCTGCGGGAAAGGAAATTCAGCTGGAATGATGTGCGTAAGCAGGGCTGGTGGATCCATGCGCAGGTTTTGGGTTTTGTGGCCTTAGGGCACCAAATTAGGTATGAATAGTTCTTAATAGATACTAGGGCCCTTTCTGCACCTGTATTTTGCCTCGGTTTCTGAGCAAATCCTATCCTTCTGTTCTGCGTTCCCTCTCACTTTCACTTCCGGTTTGTGTCGGGGCCTTTTCTTGTTTCTGTATTTGTTTGACAGGAATCTGCATTCAAACTGCTTCCAGCACACTCTTGCCCCGCAGTTACCAGAACTCCTTTTGCTGCGAATTGTTTCTGTGGGTATTTACGTGCTGCCCACTGCCTTCCCCTGTTTCCGCCTCTGTCTGTTTAGGTTGACGCTCCCTCCCCTTTCTGTTTCCTTTCCCTCCTTCTCCAAAGACAAAAGAGGGCGTGTCCTCCTGCTCAGGCAAACTTTTAAAAAGCCAGAGAGAGCATAAGAAGGAATCAGTAAATATAAAGGACCAGGGGATTCCCTGTTCCTAATGTTTCAGTCTTGCATGGGTGGGCCTGGATTGCCCCCTCCTTTCCCTTTCTTTTTGCAGAATCAGGGAGGGACGGAGGGGGGGGGGTTGGGTCTGCAGTGAAAACTTTTGAAAGATGTTTGTCTTTCTCTTCACCTTACCAGGTAGCTCAAAAAATGTGGGTTTTGCTTGTAGATGCAGAATGCATGCAGAATACACAAATAAATAAACTGGAGGGGGGGGGAAACCAGTACAGAGGGAATGCGTGCGACTGCGACGTTCGCCCTTAAGGCTGGACTCCTCGGATTCTCCGGAGCAAGCTGCCAGGGCAGGAAGGGCCATAGGGCAGGAAGGGCCATAGGGCAGGAAGGGCCATAGGGCTGGGGCCCTGCGAGCTGGCCAGCTCAAGGGTCTGTTGTGTTTAATACGTGGTGTCATGATGGTCATGCTTTGTATTACATTCACGTCTCGGCTACTTCATCCACTTACACACTCTCACTTTGTTCTCCTGGATACGTGTGTGCCTTTCTGTGCCTGGGCCCCCTGAAGGGGCTAGTGCAGCCACGCAGGTACGGTGCTCAGCAATGTACTCTTTAGGCCGTTTCCCCCCTAAGCTCTCTTACAGGCAGCTTGGTAGCCTTCTGTTTATCTTCCCCACCATATGACCCGTGGCAGCCCTTATGTGCTGAAAGCCAATATCCCCCTATCGTCCATGGACCCCGGCTTCTGAAAAGTGGGCAAGGGAGCTAGGACAAAGCAGTTAAGCCGAAACTGTAGAATGTGTGTCACTGGGCGATTCTGCATTGGCTTTTCCCTCTGCTGTTGCACCAAACCCACCTTGGAACAGAAATTCCCCTCTGCATTGCATGCCGCTTTCGCTTTCTTTGATCAGTGGGTTTTATGGGACCCTCTGCATTGCATGCCGCTTTCGCTTTCTTTGATCAGCGGGTTTTATGGCGCCCTCTGCATTGCATGCCGCTTTCGCTTTCTTTGACCAGTGGGTTTTATGGGACCCTCTGCATAGATTGATGGCCGTTCAGGGGCGACTTTGCAGTCAGTACGGTGTTGCCCTGGGGTATTTGAGCTGCCCCTTTCCCTCGGTGCTGAGAAAATGCGGAGTGAATGCCAGATGCAGAATCGCCCACTGTAGGCTATCTGCATTGGCATAATCGGAGAGTAGGTGACACATTTTCTAGAATAATTGAAAGAGGTTTCAGTGAGCCATAAGTGCTTTGGTGCCAGTTGGTCTTTCACTTAAAACAAAGAGGTCTACTACGTTTTGAAGCACATACTTGTAAAACATCCTGCCCAGATCTCCCTGTCTCTCAGGGCGATTCTGCACAGGCTTCTCCCTCTGTTGTTTTACCAAACCCACCTTGGAACAGAAATTTCCCTCTGCACTGCATGCCGCTCTCACTTCCTTTGATCATTGGATTTTGTGGTATCCTCTGATTCGCATGCTGCTTTTACTTTCTTTGATCATCGGGTTTTATGGTACCTTCTGCATAGATTGATGGCCGTTCGGGGGGGACTTCACAGTCGGTATGGCGTTGCCTTCTGCATTCTGAATGTGGTTTTGAGCTGCACCTTTTCCTCCCGGTTGAGAAATGTGGAGCGAATGCCAGATGCATTCCCAAAGGCCTAAATACATAGCCCACAATCCATTTTTTAAAAATCTATCTTTAAAATTTGGGATAAAAGGAAAAAACTGTTAGCACCTTTTCCGTCCCCGATGACCACATTTATAGAACAATCCTGGTTCATTCCAGCGCATACACCAGGTACTTTTAAAATTTGGAAGCAAAAAGATCTTACCTTGTTGCATTTCTGGCTGAAAGCATTAATGTGCGTACCTCCTTCAGGTTCATGAAATAAACTGGCTGGCTGTCCTTGTCTCTTAAGATTTTCAGCTTTCTTTTGTTGCTGACCAAAGAGAGGTTTATGCATGAACTGGCTAGGTATTTCAGGTCAGATCGCACATGATGCTTAGTTGGGTGAATGTTTTTCCTTGGGGTTTTCATACCTCAAAACCTCTGCAGGAAGCAGCAGTTTGGAAGAGCCGCTCTGCAGATAACTTCTGTCATCAAAATTTCACCCAGCAGCTGCTTTGGTGCCCTCTGGGCAGGGTGGGGGGAGGCTCTGAAGACTTTTGCCCCATTTGGCAAACACCGCACCTTGGATGAAGCAATTTTTTTTTTTTGAATGTTAAAGATGGCCTGCGGGTAAAGGAGGTAAATGGTTCTCTCCACCCACAACTCCCTCCTGATCATGGCTTCCAGCAACTGCTTTGCAGTGATTTGATGAAATAGTTCTGTTCTCTAACTATACGATCGGCCCTGACCTGGATAGCCCAACCTACTCCGATCTCGTCAGATCTCGGAAGCTAAGCAGGGTCGGCCCTGGCTAGTATTTGGATGGGAGACCTCCAAGGAATACCAGGGTTGTGATGCAGAAGCAGGCAATGGCAAACCACCTCTGAACGTCTTTTGCCTTGAAAAACCCTAGGTAAAAGTCTCCCTTGCTCGAAAGCCAGTCGAATCCGACTCTAGGGTTGCGGTGCTCATCTCCGTTTCGAAGCCGAAGAGCCAGCGCTGTCCGAAGACGTTTCCGTGGTCATGTGGTCGGCATGACTAAACACCAAGGCGCACGGAACGCTGTTACCTTCCCACCGAAGTGGTACCTATTTATCTACTTGCAATTTCTTGCTTTCGAACTGCTAGGTTGGCAGGAGCTGGAACTAGAGACGGGAGCTCACTCCGTCATGCGGCACACCCGGGTCTCGAACTGCTGAACTACCGACCTTCCACAGCCTGCAGTTCAGCGTCTTAACCATTTGAGCCACCGCAGCCTACTAGTTGCCATAAGTCAGCTGTGGTCCCACTGCTGGACCCTCCTGATGGCACCTGGTATTTTTGGCCACTATGTGACAGAGTGTTGGACTAGATGCGCCATTGGCCTGATCCAGCATTGGCTTCTCTTCTATTCTTATGACTTGGCTTGGCAACCATCAGCTAAGCATTGTCCTTGGATAACTCAGTACATACTGGGTGCAGCTGCTGCAAAAACTTGCTCTTTAGCCTCCATGGCAGGGGCTCTCTGTAGCCCCCTCTGTTTCAAACTGAGCCTGCTTTCGCCCACATAAAATAACGCACTCTCAGTACACTTCCGATGCACTTTGCAACTGGATTTTACTGTGTGAAATGGCAAAATCCACTTGCAAATGGTGACTGAAGTGGATCGAAATGGCATTATTTAGCATCTGTGAAAGGGCCACAAGAGACTGAATTGTTTCGAGAGCAAAGTCTGAACAAAGGGCAATGGCTTTAGCCGGAGTGTGTTCCTTTCTTGGAACTAGAAGAGGAAAGAACAAAAGGAAAGGAGATGGAACATCTTTTTTGAATTCCTTAGTGAATGAGAGTGTCCATTGTCTCCTTTTGTTTTAAGCAGAGGTCATTTCGGGGGGGATCGCAGGGGATCGCAGTTCCCCCAGGTGAGGTACGGGGGGCGGGGCACATGACGAAGTCCCGCCCCCTGCTTCCGGCCGCCTCGCTTCCGGCCCTCATTCAGCCAGGAGGAGGCAGGAGAAGAACCTTGCAGGTCCACCGCCGGGCCCCTCATGGGGCTCGGCAGTGGAGCTGCAAGGCCGGCGGCGGCCAGGACTGTTGGGGGTGGTGTGTGTGGCCTTATGACACACTTCCGGTGATGTCAGGGGGTGTGGCATATGCTAATGAGTTATGCTAATGAGTTCCCGTAGCTCTTTTTCTACGAAACGACCCCTGGTTTTAAGGGTGTCCCAGTGCTTGGTAATTCCTGCAGGCATTTCAGGAAGGTTCTCTTTTCTGGGCTTAAGCCCGACGGTGTGCTTAAAGATCAGTTATGCGGATCAGGGATTCTTTTGGTGAAGTGGAACACACTGCATTGGGGGGAAAGGAGCCCATGTTTTGGGGTGTGTGATAAAAGTTAAAGAATACTTGAGCTTTTTAAAGGTAACAACATTAGGACGTTTAATCATTTTCATGTTCATTAGTTTCCCCTTAAAAACTCAAGTATCCTTTCTTGACTAATAGCTTGAAATTTCTTTCTCCATATCAATCTGCCATTAAAGTAAAGGTCTACCCGTGTCCTGGAAAATGTTAGTTTTGCAGTCGGATCTTCGCAGTGGTGTCTGGGATGGTGATCTGCTACTACTAGTAGTAATTCTGACTCTCTTCACCAGAGGTCAAGCAGCAGAGCTGTGTGCCGAGGAAGCGGACCGCCGCTTGTTGAACTTGCTTAGCAATATAAACTTTTATTCTCTTGACAGAAAAACAAAAGCAAGACTAAGTGAGACCTTCTGCCTCTATCGTTGCGTGTGTTTGCTGCCTGCTTTGAAAACTAGAACTGCCTTTTTGCATTGGTGAAAGGCTTTGAACAGTGTTTGTGCAAGATTTAACTAAAAGAAAAATTCTGTGTAACCCCCCCTTCCCTGTATTCTAGGAACAAAGGACCTTGTTGTAAAGGCACAAGTATTAGCTGGTGGAAGAGGGAAAGGAACATTTGAAGGTGGCCTTAAAGGAGGAGTGAAAATAGTCTTTTCGTAAGTTGTCCTTTTAATTGATGAATGAACGTACTTGTTTAGCCGTGGGTGTATGCGATTTGTTGGAGTTATTTTAGTTACTTATATTAAAGCAATAATTTCAAAGTGATCCACTTGAGCACCTGCTCAATTCCATGCTACGTTTCATCAAAGAATACGGGCGAACGTCCACTGTATAAAATGAATTTTCCACAACCTGTCAAACTTTCTTTAGAAGAATATTCCATAATAAAGATATTATATCGTGTGACCAAAATGTAAGATTCTGATATTCCTCAGCATTCTTCTTTGGAAAATAAGTCAGGTACATCAGTAATCCCACATGTGATGCGCAAAGTCAAATACATCAATTACATATAATCCCCTATGTGACGCACAAGGGTTTAGGTAAAAGCCAACAAACAATAGACAGGTTTTGTAATTGCACTTGATCCAGAAATAATTGGGTGACCCCAGTTTGGTGGGTGGGCTCCGTCAGGAATTTTAGACAAGAGTGTATTTGACCGGAATGAAAGATATTCATTTAACTGTGTCATGTTGCTGCGCTATCGTCATGACCCTATAGCAGTGGTGGCGAACCTGTGGCACGGGTGCCAGAGGTGGCACTCTCTGTGGGCACGCGTGCCATCGCCCCAGCCAGGCCCAGACCATCATTAAAGTGTCGAATTCTCTGCCAAATAATTTTAAGTAAATGAAAGCATTTGGGATTGCTTTCCTTACTTTGTTTGAATCATCTTAAGTTAATGGATGAGTCGTTTTTTCTAAAGTAAAACCTCAGTATTCAGGTTCAATGGCCGTGTTGGCACTCTGTGATCAATAAGTGGGTTTTGGGTCGCAGTTTGGGCACTCGGTCTCTAAAAGGTTCGCCATCACTGCCCTATAGCCTGTGCACCAAATACCCTCATTCTAATAACATAGACAAAGCATGATTTGTGTTGCCATTACTTTAAATATCGTTATTAGTTTTGATCTCCCCCAGCTGCCTCGAGGTTGTTTGTTTTCAGGTAGCCTTCATTGGCTAGTTTCAAAGCGTATCCGTTGGTAAAAGTAATACACAACACTTTGTTCTTTGGCACTCAGTTATCCAGAGTGCTCAGTTAATCGGTGTTACCATGAAGTCAGGCTCTTCTCCCCCCACCCCATCACCACATCTTATTTATTTATTTATTATATTTGATTTATGGGTGGCCCTTCCCTGCGAGCAGGGCTCAGGGCGACTTACATCAAAGATAAACACAATACGATTGAATTAAAACAGCATCAAAATACCTAAAAACAGTCAGAAAACAGCACTAAATCCAAGATGACGATCATTTCCACCAGCCCCCCTGGGTGGAGGGGATATGTAGGGATAAAAGGGGTGGTTGGCGTATGAGAGCGCCAGACGGTCGCTGTCCTCATCCAAATGCCTGGCAGAGCATCTCTGCCTTCCAAGCCCTATGGAAAGGTAGTAAGTCCCATAGGGCACAGATGGTCTCCAGCAAAGAGTCCCACCAGGTGGGGGCCAGGGCTGAAAAGTCCCTGGCCCTGGTCGAGGACAGCCAGGAGGTTCTTATTACTAGAGCGTCATGCTCTTCCAGGGACATATTGAGAGAGGCGGTCCCAAAGGTATGTGGGTCCCTGACCACTTATGACCTTAAAGGTCAAAACTAAAACCTATGTAACTTTGGGCACCTGTAAGCCCCACTGCTGCCCCTCCAGCTTGATGCCCACGTCCGTCACTGTCCGTCTGACAGCAGGTGATCCCAAACTGATGTCCTTCTTGTGTACCTCTTTTTCTTTAGCCTTTCTTGAACTGTTGAGAGCAATCTCTGCCCGTGGCCCCTTGGTTAGCTGGCTTGCTAGTTGGCCTGCTACTTAGGACTACTTAGTCGCTTGGGGGGGGGGCGGCCTCACCAGGCACGGGGCTGTGGCCGTGGCGTTCCCAATGGGATGGGGTTTGGCCATCTGGGAAAGGGACAGTGCAGAGCTTGATTAAGCAGCAGCCCCTATTATCTATGAATGCTGGCCAATAAAGCTTTTCCCTTAAGAAATAACACTCCCTCTTCTGGAAAACTTGGAGTTAGCTCAGCCGGCAGACTCCAGAGATGCTGTTTAGAATGGCACTTCTGTCGGTGGAAGAGCAGAGGGCAACTTGCTGATTTCCCTGCTCATACTGCAAATCTCCACCTGTGCTGTTCCTGGGGGTCCCTTGACCCCCAGTAGTAGAATTTCAGGGGGGTGCCACAGGAGGGGAGAAGCACAGAGTCCTCACTCCTTCGGTGGTGCTTTGGATCTGATTCAATTGGGTTTATGACTTTATGGCTTTATTTTATGACTTACTCTTTCAAAGATCGCAATACTGTATTTCGATTGAGTAAACAATAGATTTTGTCCTGAGCCTAGAGAGAGTAGATACCTGGTATTACATCCCCCCCCCCCCCCCCCCGGTAGTCTATCAGTTAAATTTGAAAATATCTATTCTAGACTGAAGAGGATGTGGAAGTTTAAATTTTGCTACGTGCAACCTGCTTGTTTAGTGCAAGTGAAATCTGGCTGTGTTTTTGTGAAGTTTCTTTAGAGAGACCTAACTAAAATAGAAAATACCAGAACTCTGTACAGACTTGTGAACACAGTGGAGATGTCCCGCTTTTGCTAAGTGCTGAGGGGTTTTTTTTGCCCAGACTGTCAAGATTGCATCGTATTTTTAGTTTATGATATGTTTGCAAATAAATGGTTTTGTCTGCAACACATGGCCTTATAGTATGCTGATTTTTTTTGTCCCGTGTGCTGATTGCACAGGTTTTATCTTTTTTTTTTAATTTTTTATTTTCAATTTTCCATAACATACATACATTTGTCCCTCTTTTTCAACAAGTGGGGGGGGGGATTACATTTTAATATATATTTTTTTAATCTTGATTGCGGATATGTTTTTTTTAAGTCTCTAAAGCATGAGCTAGCCTAAATGTACAGATTCAAAGGGAAACCCTCTTGTAGCCAGAAATCACAGGACAGGGCTTTCCTGGCTTTTCAATAGCTGGAAATTTTACATCTCTAGTCGTGCCGATTGCCCTGATTGGGATGGCCCAGGCTACCCCAATCTCGTCAGATCTCGGAAGCTAAGCAGGGTCGGCCCTGGTTAGTACTTGAATGGGAGACCACCAGGGAAGTCCACGGTCACTGCACAGAGGGAGGCAATGGCATCTGAACATCTCTTGCCTTGAAAACGAGGGGTGTGTGTTGCTGACCATAAGTCAGCTCAACAGCACCATAAGTCAGCAACTCAACAGCACTTTTCTTCACCACCACCAGTTGTAGGCATTATGGATTTTTTTTTTTAATGGGACTTCCTCTCCGAATAGCATTACACTCTGGGGAGAAAAACCTCTTGGTGATCTCTGGCCCGAAGGATATCTGGCTGTCCTCGACCAGAGCGGGGCCTTTTCGGCCCTGGCCCCAGCCTGGTGGAACTCTCTGCCTGATGACACCCGTGCCCTGCAGGACCTAATACAGTTCCGCAGGGCCTGTGAGACAGAGGTGTTCCGCCAGGCCTGTGGTTGAGGTTAGCAACGGTTTGTCATCAAGCCTGGCCTCCTCTGCGTCTCCTGACTTCCCGCCCCAAGGGGCAAGGACATATATTGTCTGAATGCCATCTGGAATAGTTGGTTATGACTGTTTTATCATTTTAAAATTTATAGTAGAGTATATTATTTATATAGACTATAGCTGTTTACTGGAATGTATTTATTAAAACGTTGTTAATCACCCTGAGTCTACAAATCAAATCAATAAATGAAGATTTTGAACATCGCGATCTCTCTCTCTCTCTCTCTCTCTCTCTCTCTCTCTCTCTCTCTCTCATTTTAGTCCAGAAGAAGTAAAAGACATTTCCTCCAAAATGATTGGGAAAAAGCTGTACACAAAGCAGACAGGAGAAAAAGGCAGGATATGCAACGAAGTATTTATTTGCGAGCGAAGATATCCCAGGAGGGAGTATTATTTTGCTATAACAATGGAGAGATCCTATCAAGTGAGTAACCTGTCTTGAGAAATACTCCTTTTGGGATGCACTGGTACTGATGAGTGCTTGGTCGTCTTCATGGTGCTTGTTTGTAATGCGCAATCCTAGCTCACTGGCACGGAGGCTTTTTGTTGTTGTTGGGATGTAATTCGAGAGTGATCTATCAAATGTTGTCAGTGCTGTTATACTATCGTATGGTGCAGCTGAGTGCATAGTTAAGAGGAAAGCAGCATTAAATACGATGCAAAATGTCTGGTAGGGGTCATAAATATAAAACCACAGCAGGAGAGGTGTTGTGGGGCTGGGGGAACGTCTCTCCCAGTCCCCTGGTGTCAGCCACATTTCGGAGAAGAAAGAGGGGCTAGCCGAGACCTCAGAATGCACGCCACGAGGCTACTTCACCTCGTCAGTGCCTGCTGCCAAGAGTTGCCTCACGCTCACTCTCTCGGCGGCGTCACTCAGCCTCCAGTCTTGCCTTCCTCCCCAGTCCCAGCGTCTCGGCTCCTCTTGTGCTCTCGGAGTCCCCTGCCCCTCCCCCCATCACCCCTCTGAGCGGCCTCTAGCCTTATCCTTCGCCTGTCCCGTCTTCCCCATTGGTCCTGACTGCGGCTGTATTTATCATTCGGGTCCACCCTCTGCACTCAGCCGGGGCGTGTGGTTGATGGTGAGTTGATCAATCGGATGCTCGGCTGCCGCTGCTCCTTCTGCTGTGGCTGTGGTACGCTGTGGTGGGCCTGGCGTCAGGGGATCAGGGTTCTCCTCCCTCAGCCCCGCCCACCTCCCCTGGACCTGGACCTGGGCTCCGGCTCGGCCTCTCTGTGGTTCACCTGCCTGCCTTGCGCTTGGCTGTCTCCCTGGGGCTGTAGCCGATGCTTCCTCCTTCGGCGGTTGGGACCAGCCTGTTTGGGCCCCGGCCTGTTTGGGCCTCGCCAGCCTCCCTCCCCCACCCAGGCTGCTGAGGCTCAGGGCCATACGTGCCAAGCAGGCCGGTGGCCGTTGTTGTGGCTGGGCCGCGCCCGTTTGTCCCGGGGGTGATGCTGATGTCCTTGAGCCGCTCCTCCTCATTGTGGCTCCCTCCTCGCTGTTCTCACTGGCTGGTACATCCAAGATCTGACAGGTGCTAACAACAGTACTTTCTGAGTTTATTCTAAGCCAGTTTGGTGTCGTGGTTAAGTGCGCGGACTCCAATCTGGGAGAACCGGGTTTGATTCCCCTACTCCTCCGCTTGCACCTGGCTGGATAACCTTGGGCAAGCCATAGTTCGCGGGCTCTTTTTGTAGCAGGAACTCCTTTGCATATTAGGCCACACCCCCTAATGTAGCCAATCCTCCAAGAGCTTACAGAGCACTTCTTCCAGGAGCTACTGTAAGCTCTTGGAGGATTGGCTACATTAGGGGTGTGTCGCTTAATATGCAAATGAGTACCTGCTACAAAAAGAGCCCTAAGAGCTGTTCTTGAAAAAAGAGCAGTTTCTGTCAAGAGCTCTCTGAGCCCCGCCTACCTCACAGGGTGTCTGTTGTGGGGAGGGGAAGGGAAAGGAGTTTGTAAGCCGCTCTGAGACACCTTTGGGTAGTGAAGGGCGGGGTATAAATCCAATCTCTTCTTCTAAGCTCACTTCACGGTTCTGGGAATCTTTAGTCTTTGCAGTGACAGAGAGGAAACACACTTGGAAAGAAATCTCGTGGTGGGTACCTGGATTTAAGAGATTTCTTTCTCAGCAGTTGCTACCAAAGGAAACACCCCCCCCCCCATTCTTTTCGAATGCTAACAAATTTAAAAAGCAGTTTGGGGACTTCAGAAGCGTTTTCTAAAAGCAGAAGGGAAAATACCTGGAAAGCATCGATTGCGGTGTTGTGCCAAGCTGTTCCTTAAATTCAGGACTTTCAGAAGTCGCTGAAGTTAGTTTTCTCGTCACAAAACCAAATGCCCACATATCGCACTACACCTCCCCCCTCCCACACTCAGGTCAGCCAGTGCAACACAGACTCAGATTTCAGTGCAATTTACATTTTTCATTAATCTGGAAAGGCTGACGATAAGAAGCATCCTTTTTTGTAATAGTATCACTAGATGGAGCCATAGATCCAGTTTGTGTGTGTGATGCAGGTTTTTCTTGGCTGTGTACCCATCTTGCACCGCTCAGTGTATCTCATTCTAAACCCTAAAAAAAGTATTAATCACCACCAGTTCAGATGTTAAAATACCCAAAGACATCTAATTAATCATCTTATTTTTTAAAAAAAGCAACAACTTTAAGTCTCATTATCTGGGTTTTACTATGTTGGGCCTGTAAATGTAAATAATAAACAAATAGCTTGGCCCAAAGTGTTATGTGGGCAGGAGGAATGTGAAAGATCCCAGTCACAAAGTTAAATACGCCCTTTTTATAAAGGAAGATCAGATCTTGCATTGCACTGAAATTTAGGTGAAGGTAAAGGTTCTCTTGCTCGAAAGCCAGTCGAATCCGACTCTAGGGTTGCGGTGCTCATCTCCGTTTCAAAGCCGAAGAGCCAGCGCTGTCCGAAGACGTTTCTGTGGTCATGTGGCCGGCATGACTAAACACCAAGGCACACAGAACGCTGTTACCTTCCCACCGAAGGGGTACCTATTTATCTACTTACAATTTCTTGCTTTCGAACTGCTAGGTTGGCAGGAGCTGGAACTAGAAATGGGAGCTCACTCTGTCATGCGGCAACTCGGGTCTCGAACTGCTGAACTACAGACCTTCCACAGCCTGCAGTTCAGCATCTTAGCCACTTGAGCCACCGCAGCTCCTGCACTGAAATTTAGGAAACGTCTAAAAAGGACAAAAGAAAATCAAGGGGAAAAAAATAAAATCGCAACCCTGCTTTTGCACTGTCTGGCTTAGGGTGCTAGGCAAGGCAAAAAGTCCCTTTTTAAAAATGTGACTTTCCGTCTGTCAAGCCATTTTCAAAATGGAATCAGACGTGTGGTTTTTGGAACAGAGGCCAGCAAGAAACGGGGAAGTTGCTGTGATTCTGAAAACAGGCAGCAAAGAACGCGCCTCCCACTTGAAACACTTTGTCCCTGCAGCATGAGAGCCTCTTCCGCACTCAGCGCCATCTAAACTGACAGAATCCTTGGTTCTGTAGCGTCCCCGTCCCCCCCAAATGCACTGGTGAGGACCAGGGCAGTGGTATTCATTGGGCCGGATTGGGCAACTTCTTCCTGCAGCGAGTGGAGCTTTGCTCTGGTAGAAAACTCTTGACTTCATGATAAGGAGCTGCAGGGACCCAACTTGTTTTGTCCGTTTGCTTGTTTTAAGTTACTTGTTTTTTCAGGTAAACTCTGAGTGTGTTCGTTACCTTCTCTGTATCCCCCCACCAATGTTCCCTCTAAGCTGTGGGGTCTTGTGAGCAAAAATTCTACTTTGTGAGCTACTGGCATTAAAGTTGTGAGCAAGCAATATGGCTACTGCATAAATTAGCTTGCTCTGGAGCCATCCTTCCTGAGCTAAGACAAAAAATGTGTGAGCCGGAGGCTGAAAATTTGTGAGCTAGCTCACACTAACTCAGCTTAGAGGGAACACTGCCCCCCACCCACCCATCCTCAAAGACTTTTAAGATTGAGACACGCCTTACAAAGTTAAAACTGTGGTAACAAACAGTGATATCTTATTTGATTGTGTTGTGGGTTTCCTAACAATGTGTTGGATATTGGGTGTTGGATAGAATATGGGGTGTTGGATAGGCAATATTTAGAAGGCATTTTGGGGTGGTAGGAAGCAAGGCTTGTGTCTTCTGTATCCGGGACTGAATTAAAGGGCATCTAAACACCCAAGCGTAGAAGCATGTATTTATTCGATGGATGTATTACTCTTCTTTATGCTGATTTTTGTTGTTGTTGTCCAGTCGCACATTGGAACCCACTAAATAGTTACCATCCTGGTGGTTCTTTGAATGGTCAGTCCTGTGCCTTGTCTAACGCAGAGGTCCCCAACCTTTTTTTATTATTATTTTTCCATTGTCAGAAATATTTCAGCCATTTTTCATATTTTTCACAGAATCATAGCACTTTATATACTAATAAAACCACTATCCATTCTGTTGCTAAAGATAGGTAAGCCTTCCAAGAAGTCAAATTTAAATTATATATCGCTCTGCTGTTCAAAAATACAGCAAATTCTTATAATAGAAATTATTTGGAATTATCTCTTTTCCTGTTAAATATTCCATTATTGGGTACCATATTTCAATACATTTTTCTTCTTGTTTCAATGATTGTGCCATAGATGGGTTATTTACAATCTTACCCCAAGTAAAAATGGTCCCATTTTCTCTACTCTTGTACAGTAGGGATTTTATTGTTTTTCCAATTATCTGCTCTTAGGGTCCCCAACCTTTTTGAGCCTGTGGGCACCTGTGGAATTCTGACACACGTAGTGGGGTGCAGCCACAAAATGGCTGCCACAGCTTACCTCCAGTCACACAGTGAAGACCCTTGTGCTGTGGTGGCAGCTGCTGCCAAAGCGACATATTTAAAAAACTGCAGAACCAGTCAGATCTCCAGGGCTCAATCAGAAGCCTTGCTGGGAGGGAGAACTGGTATAAAATGTGTTTTAGAGGGTACATTACCCCCAAAGACAATGGGAGGTGTTGGAAATGTCAGAATACAGATGCAACATTCTATCACATGTGGTGGGCATGCAAGAAACCAAGAAAGTATTGGATAGAGATACATGAAGAAATGCCAAAGAAGCTAAAATTTAAATTTGCGATGGATCCTAAAGCCATGTTACTAAATATCCTACCAAGCAATATTACTGAAATACACAGTGAACTATTTAAATAATCGGTGACAGCGGCTAGAGTAATTTTTGCAGTAAAATGGAAGGCAGGAAAATGTCCAGATTTGAAGGACTGGAAGAATAAATTAAACGAATATGCGATACTGGCAAAACTAACATCTTATATACACAACAGATCGACTTCAGAATTTCAAGAAAAATGGGAAGTATTTTTCAACTATATAGCTGAAAATCAAGAATAAATTTAAATTAAAACAGAAAATCATAAAAGGAAAGCGTTAGGCAATATATATTTTCAATAAAAATATCCGATATGAAGATAGATAGAAAATATAGGAGAAGAAAGTATACCCTGCCCTTCACTCGAAGTCTCAGAGTAGCTTACAATCTCCTTTCCTTCCCCCTCCCCACAACAGACACCCTGTAAGGTAGGTGTGGCTGAGAGAACTCTGAGAGGAATGCTCTTGAGAGAACAGCTCTGAGGGAACTGTGACTGACCCAAGATCACCCAGCTGGCTGCATGTGGAGGAAGAGTGGGGAATCAAACACGGTTCTCCAGATTAGAGTCCTGCCCCTCTTAACCACTACACCAAACTAGCTTTCATAGGATAAAGGCATTTAAATAGAAGTGAAATCTTGAAAGTAAATATAAGCAAGTTCTATATAAATGAGTGACTTGATTGATAATTGTATGATTTAGATTATTGTATTTCATTATTTATGTATGATTTAGATGTTTGTATTCAGCTTCTTATGTGTGATTTAGATGATGGTAGATGATTGTAAATATCGTACTTGTATGTTTTATGTTTGTGTGTTTGTAAATTGAAACATGGGGTTATCAGATGGTTTTGTTTTTGTTATTTTTTTGGTCATTGGTCTTCGTTTTGTGTGTGTAAATAAATTTTTTTTTTTTTAAAAAGAAGCCTTGCTAGCCAAAAGTCCCACGTGGCCCCAGCCACTTACTAAACACACTTGGAGGGGGCCCCAGAAAAGCTGTCAGCGGGTGCCACGGGGCCCGCGGGCACGGTGTTATGGACCCCTGGTCTAATTCGTAACTATTTTAGTATTTCTTTTGAAGTAGAAGTGTCATTCTTGCAACTTTCCCCCCTCTTCCAGGGCCCTGTGCTCATTGGCAGTTCTCAAGGCGGTGTCAATATCGAAGACGTGGCCGCGGAGAACCCTGATGCAATCGTTAAGGAGCCCGTGGATATTGTGGAAGGCATCAAAAAGGAGCAAGCAGTCAAGGTGCTGAGCAAAGTGTGCCCTCGTCTGTGGGTCCTTCCAAGTAGCTTGACGATGAACCAAACCCAGTAGCGTAAGCAGGCTGGTGTTCGCGCCAGTCCTTTTGGGTAGTGGGGGACATGCAGGATTGGAAACTTGGCAGTCCTTTTGGGTAGTGGGGGACATGCAGGATTGGAAACTTGACAGACTGGAAAGTTGGGGCCTGGAGATCTCCCAGAATTAGAGCTTATCCCCTGATGTCAAAGATCAGTTTCCCTGGGGGAAATGGCTGCTCTAAAGGCCAGTTTCTACTGTGCTATATCTATCAAGGCCCTTTCCCTCCCCAGAGGGCCCCCCCCCAAATCTCCAGGAATTTCCCCATCTGGAGTTGGCATCCATAGTGACAGCCCCCCCCATGGGGTAGCAGCTTGCCTTTCAGCAGCGTTCCCTTCCTCCAGAAGCCTTCGCGGGTTAGCCTGCATCAACCGTATTGCGATGTGACAGAACAAGCAAAAAATGCAAATGGGAACGTTCAAAGGGGACCCGCCACAAAGTGTTGCCAAGCGTTACGCAATCCCGCACATGTTTTAATCTGTGTTCAGTGGAGCTTACCCCCTGTTAATTATGCATCGGATGGAGAAAGCAGCTGTCCTGTCAAACGTCAAGCTGAATGATCTTTAAAGGGACATGTTCCCCCCCCAGGGCTGCTTTTGTGAAGAAGGGGAGGAGGGTTGTTGGGGGCTGCTCCTTCCTCCCCTCCCCTCTCCAGCAGCAGCCCTACAGGAAACTGTCCCTTTAAAGTACCTAAGCAAAGACTTGGGGCTTTGGGACATTTGGTTTGGTGCGGCAGGTGCCCTTCCAGGTGCCTGATCCTCAGCCAAGCAGATTGAATGGCTGGCTTAGAGCCCCTTAGTCAGTTTGGTGTCGTGGCTAAGTGCGCGGACTCAGTTCTGGGAGAACCGGGTTTGATTCCCCACTCCTCCACTTGCACCTGGCTGGATGACCTTGGGCAAGCCATAGTTCTGGCACAGCTGTTCTTGAAAAAGAGCTGTTTCTGCCAGAGCTCTCTCAGCCCTACCTTCCTCTCTAATCTGGGAGAACCGGGTTTGATTCCCCACCCCTCCACTTGCACCTGGCTGGATGACCTTGGGCAAGCCATAGTTCTGGCACAGCTGTTCTTGAAAAAGAGCCGTTTCTGCCAGAGCTCTCTCAGCCCCACCTTCCTCTCTAATCTGGGAGAACCGGGTTTGATTCCCCACTCCTCCACTTGCACCTGCTGATGTGACCTTGGGTCAGTCACAAGCTCTGGCACAGCTGTTCCTGAAAGAGCAGTTTGTGTCAGAGCTCTCTCAGCCCCACCCACCTCACAGGGTGTCTGTTGTGGGGAGGGGAAGGGAAAGGAGTTTGTAAGCCGCTCTGAGACTCCAAGTGAAGGGCGGGGTATAAATCCAATCTCTTCTTCTTCTTCTTCTCACAGGGCGTCTGTTGTGGGGAAAGGAAGGGAAAGGAGTTTGTAAGCAGCTCTGAGACACCTTTGGGTAGTGAAGGGCGGGGTATAAATCCAATCTCCTCCTTCTCTTCTTCCTCCTCCTCGTCGTCTTCTTCTCTGCTTGAAGTAAAAAAAATCCCTAGTCTTTCACTTAGCAGTGGCATAGAGTTGTAACCTCCCACCTTGACTGCAGGGGGCCAGTTCTGTTGCTTCCATAATTGGCACAGGCCAGTTGCTTTATTATTAGAGATGGCCATGGTTTTAGGGTCTCCGGCTTGCAGCTGTAGCCTTGTTCACATGTTACAGTGAAGACACACACAACCTGCCTGTACATGCGTGCATAAGAGTGCAAGAAAAAGCCGTTGCAGGTTTCAGCTATAAGTGAAACCAGAGACGTGGGGTTTAAATCACAGGCTCAGTTGTACCTTCATCGTACGTAACCTGAGAATGACTTATGAGATTTTGCTACCCTTTCCCCTCTGTTCTCAGGTGGCTGAGAAAATGGGATTTCCCACAAACTTAATAGACGAAGCGGCTGAAAATATGATTAAGATATACAACCTCTTCATTAAATTCGATGCCACTATGGTAGAAATTAACCCCATGGTTGAAGATTCGACAGGAATCGGTAAAGTATCTTAGTGACTGATCTAGTGACGTTGAAAACTGAACCGGGGGGGGGGGGGGTTGCAACTTAATGCAGTAATTCTTCCAGTGCAGAGCTAAATCCTCAGTGAAAATCTGTTTCGAAAAATGTGCTATGAGGTACAGCCATGTTGTCCTCTGGGCTGGAAAGATGGTTTTATACCATGTATTGCTGTGTAATCAGCTGAATGCATTTCGGGTTGCCGGTGATGGTTGTAGACTTCTTGGCTTGTGGTGGTGGGAAAGTACCATTCAAGTTGCTGCCGACTTATGGCGGCCCTGTAGGGTGTTCCAGGCAAGAGATGAACAGAGGTGTTTTGCCACTGCCTGCTTTTATGTAGTGACCCTAGACTTCCTTGGGGGTCTCCTGTCCAAGTACTAACCGGGGCTGACCCTGCTTACCTTCCAAGACTCAAGATCAGGCTATCCTGGGCTATCTAGGGTTCTCGGTTTGTAAGAAACCTCAATTTGTGGTGACATCCAGATTGACCAGTTGTGGCTTTATTTCTTCGTTGCAAACTGGAATTCCAAATCCCTGTTGAGTCCTAACTTATTAATGACAATCAAACTGAAATGCATTAGTTCATCTGTTTTGGCAACCACAACCGATCATGGTTTGTTTTTCCAGGAAGTCTTCCATCTGTGGGTAATATGTGTGGGGTGGGGAGCAAACGCAGCTCTTGTGACTGAAGCTTCAGAGTAACTTAGATGTTTAGCGTGTTTCCCTACCCCAGAGGTTTGCAGCCGGTGGCTTAGTATGGAACCAAATGTGGCTGTTCTAAGAAGGAAATGAAATCTTTAAGGTTATATTTGAGGGGTAGGTGGCATGCTAGAATGGCCAGTAAGCAATGTTCCCTCTAAGCTGAGTTAGTGTGAGCTAGCTCACATTTTTTTAGCCTCCGGCTCACAATTTTTTGTCTTAGCTCAGGCAGGATGGCTCCAGAGCAGACTAACTTATGCAGCAGCCAAATCGTTTGCTCACAACTTTAATGCCAGTGGTTCACAGAGTAGAATTTTTGCTCACAAGACTCCACAGCTGAGAGGGAACATGGCCATTAAGTGGCGGGAATGGCGGATGGAGATTCTGGGAATACTAAAGGCGGACGGAGATTCTGGGAATACTAAAGACCTCCTTAGAGATCCTTTATAGAAAGGGAAAGATTGGAGGTGGGTATTTGCTAGTAGTCCAAATGCAAATCACGTGCAGATTTGTGTAAATCATGTGCAGATTTATGCCAGTGCACTAAAACAGCTGTCCTCCTGGGTTTATTACTTATTTTGAGAACTTTCTAATAAAGGGCTCGCAACAATCAGTGTGCAGAAACTTTATGGATTATTAATAGGCATATCATGAGTAATGTTTAAGTTGTATGATTTCAGTAACGGGAGTGGGCTCTCGCATATTAGCTCTCTGTTGATCTCCTCTGAATGTCGATGTCGTTTGGCCTCTAATTAGGGTAGGGGGTCGGCAACATTTTACAGATTCAGTTTTGGCCCTAGCTCTTCATGCATGTTGGGCTGAAATCTTAAAACATCTAGTCAAATCCATGTCCCTTTCCCAAACATGTCCTTTTAAGGTTTTGCTCCCCCCACCTCCTTTCACTGTGAATATAGTCTTGTGATGTGGAGGAATTAACCCGATTCCTGTTAAATGAGAGCCCTTCAGCAGATTACAACCAAGCTTCTAAAAATGTGCTAGAAGAGGTGTACAGTTGGGTCGTACTGCAGAACTGTGCCACTTTGGGGAACGGGTGGGAAGAATGCCATTTAAAAAAAAATTCTTCCAGCCACTCTTTTTCCAGTTTGGTGTAGTGGTTAGGAGTGCGGACTCTAATCTGGGAGAATTGGGTTTGATTCCCCACTTCCCCACATGTACCTCCTGGTGTGACCTTGGGTCAGTCACAAGTTCTTTCAGAGCTGTTCTCTCAGGAGCAGTTCTCGAGAGAGCTCTCTCAGCCCCACCTACCTCACAGGGTGTCTGTGGTGGCGAGGGGAAGGGAAAGGAGATTGTAAGCCGCTCTGAGTCTCCTTCAGTGAAGGGAGGGGTATAAATCCAATCTCCTCCTCCCCCTCCCCTCCCCCCCTCCTTGCTTCTGCGTCTTGGTTGTGCATTAACCCAGAAAAGTTTGAGCCCAGCACAACTCCTGCTGTGCTAGTTCTCTTCTTGGAGGGGATCTTAAAGCCATTTAATTCCTCTCTCTGCTGCCTGAACTTGGTACAATCCCTTCTCCCTCCTCGCTTGGCCCCTTATTGGTTTGTGCCGTGTGCAGCCATTGGCTGCTCGATGAGGTCCCGTGCGATGCGGCCACTCACTGTGTCTCCCACACACTGCCATTTTATCAACACACGGAAGGGTAATGGCTTCATGATTTGGTGTCTTCTTGAAGGAGACACCATGACTCAGGGAAAGGGTCTCCGCTTTGCGTGCAGAAGGTCCCACGTTCAATCCACCACATCTCTAATTAAAAAAAAACAAGAACAACCCAGGCAGTAGATGGCGTGAAAGGCCTGAGATTCTGGAGAGCCACTGCCAGTCTGAATAGACAGTACTGACCCTGACGGACCAAGGGGGTCTGATTCAGTATAAGGGGTTCCGGAACATAATTTCATTCCTTTTAACTCTCAGAATTAACCAACCTTTGCTTTAAGAAAGACGATATAAAAGAGTTCAAATAAGTCAGATTTTCTTAGTGGAAGAAATAATATTATTTTTATTTTATTTGTTTACATTTAAAAAAAATTATTTTAACAAAAAAAATTAATTTGACATTTAACATTAAGTTGGCGTCAGTATTGATGTACCGTATCCAGAAATTAAAAATATACATAAAATACCAATGGTAAAGAGTGCAGTTAGATAATTTTAACATACAGCCAATTACAGATCAGAATACACGTGGTAAGATTTAGAATTCATTTTGTCTTTAAATAATTAAGGATCTGACAGGTCGTATTAAATTATACATCAAAAGTAAATCATATTTCTATAATATACGTTACAAGGTAAAATGTCATTTTCCATTAAATATTGCACTACGGGATACCGGATGTCTTCAAAATGGGAAAACAACATAACCTTGTAAATTATGTGGGTCCTAGCGCATTGTTTTACCCAATACAAAATATTCCCGTAGCTTTTCTCTCCAAGACTTTATAGAAGGAGGAGAAGAAGAAGAAGAGAAGAGATTGGATTTATACCCTGCCCTTCACTACCCAAAGGTGTCTCAGAGCGGCTTACAAACTCCTTTCCCTTCCCCTCCCCACAACAGGCACCCTGTGAGGGAGGTGGGGCTGAGAGAACTCTTGACAGAAACTGCTCTTTTTCAAGAACAGCTGTGCCAGAACTGTGGCTTGCCCAAGGTCATCCAGCCAGGTGCAAGTGGAGGAGTGGGGAATCAAACCCAGTTCTCCCAGGTTAGAGTCCGTGCACTTAATCACTACACCAAACTGGCTTGAGTATGTCTCCAGTAAGTAGCAATAATTCTTAATGTTCAGTCTAAACTAGGTTTGTTTGCCTTCCAAAGTGATGTGTATGGACGCAAAGATAAACTTTGATAGCAATGCGGCTTATCGTCAGAAGAAAATCTTCAGCCTGCAGGACTGGACCCAGGAGGACAAGAGGGACCAGGATGCGGCCAAATCAAACCTCAACTACATCGGGTTGGATGGAAACATTGGCTGTCTGGGTATGTAGGTTGGCGGGACGTTGAAGGAGAGAGCTCGACGCGTGTGGTGGGTGCCTGGGAGATGGATTCTCAGAGTTCTGTCTCTGTCTCTCCTCCCCTCCCCTCCTTCCCCCCCACTTTCAGTGAATGGGGCTGGTCTAGCAATGGCCACAATGGATATAATTAAACTTCACGGAGGCACGCCTGCAAACTTCCTGGACGTTGGAGGTGGTGCGACGGCACAGCAAGTAACAGAGGCCTTTAGGCTCATCAATTCCGATAGAAAGGTAAGACCAGCTTGGCTGTGTAAAGGCCGTCCTCTGTGTGACTTTGTATTTATGCCTTTGGGGCACCTTTGGGGCTGAAAGGCAGGATCGGGCACGCAAAGCTGTGTAAATCTAGGGACCCCGTTTCCCTAGCAACGTGTGTGCATTGGCCACTGAAAGCTTTCAGTAGTGAGTAAGCAAGGAAACTAAGATTAAGCCTTTCTAGATTCTGTTGTTTTCATACACATGTATTAAAGGAGGGGGGGGACTCTGATGTAGTGAATATTCGTATATATATTTCCTTGTATCCCCCACCCGCTCAATCCATTGCATAGGATCAGGTGACAGTACGTTAGGGAAATAAAGCCATGTCCTTTTTTCATTGCCACTGCCTTGTCTTGGGTCCCCAGCTTTTTTGAGTCCGTGGGCACCTTCAGAATTCTGACACAGGTCGTTGGGCACAAATCACAAAATGGCTGCCACCGTAGGTGGAGCCAGTCACATAGCTGTCGCGGGAGATGGAGCCAACTGCAAAACGTCAAGAGTCGAGGTTATCTATAACTCTGATAGTAACACTTCAACACTTCTGGCAGAAACTCTGTTCAACAGGATGCCTTCTAATCTACACAGCCAATCAGGAGCCCTGCTGGACAAAAGTCCCACTTAGCCCCTCCCACTTTCTCAAAGCACTTGGCCGGTGCCATGGCAACAAAAGGGAGCACGTTGGGGACCCCTGGCCTAGTCCACCCCTGCCTAATGTCTGTCATCAGCCAAAGCAGTGATTAGGACCAGTCCACCACTTTTTCACTGAATCTTGAAGACTTACCACATTACAATCTTTTGTTAACATTACTCTTTCCTTTGCTGAGTTTTCCAGGATTCGGCTTTGCTTCCTCCGTTGCACACGTGCTCAGTCGTGAATTCAACCTGGGGGTTCAAGTGCAAACCTAATAGGTCCCTTTCTGGGTCTCCCACTGGGGGCCCTACGGCTCTGTGCCCTGTGCATGCTGTCAATGGGGAAGTAAATGTAACTTTGCCACTCCTGGCTTCCAGAATTGAAAGAAGGCACACACATACGCCGATCCATAGCCAGTTCTAACTTTAGAAAACGTAAAATCATTTGCATGCATCTGGCCCTTGCCTGCTCCATCGATCAGTTAAGTCTAGGCACCAGGTGCAAGGCAATCTCTCAAAAGATGACAGTTAGGGGACGATTGCACTCCTGAGCCGTAACCGAGGGAGAGGTTCCGAGCAAGTCACCGCTGACAGTTGGACTAGACCTCTCAAGGCTGTTCCCTTCCCAGTTTGGTGTAGTGGTTAAGTGTGCGGACTCTAATCTGGGAGAACCGGGTTTGATTCCCCACTCCTCCACTTGCACCTGCTGATGTGACCTTGGGTCAGTCACAAGCTCTGGCACAGCTGTCCTTGAAAAAGAGCAGTTTGTGTCAGAGTTCTCTCAGCCCCACCCACCCCACAGGGTGTCTGTTGTGGGGAGGGGAAGGGAAAGGGGTTTGTAAGCCGCTCTGAGACTCCAAGTGAAGGGCGGGGTATAAATCCAATCTCTTCTTCTTCTTCCCCTTCTAGCAGTAGCTATTACATCACCAGCTTTTTCTTTCTGAGTTTTGCAAGCTAACTGAGAGTTCAAGCACTGTTCAAGTTCATCTTACTTTAATCTTGGACGGTACGGAAAAGTTAGATTAATTGCTTTTTAATAGAGGTTAAAGAGATCGGCCTTGAGAAAAGGAACTGTTCTCTTTATTATGCACGACAGGAGGGAATACAAGCACGTAAAAATTAATCCTGCAATGACTGTAGAAAGGGTTTTCGAGGCAAGAGGCATTCAGTGGTGATTTGCCGTGGCCTGCCTCTGTGTAGCAGTCCTGGGCTTCCTTGCCGGACTCACGTCCAAGTGCTAACTGGGGCCTGACCCTGCTTTGCTTCCAAGATGTGATGAGGTTGGTCTAGCCTGGGCCGTTGAGGTCAGGGGTCACCCTTCCCGGAGAGACTGACCGACCCAGCTCTTCGTACATTTCGTGTGTGAGTGAGAGAGAGAATGAGACAGTTTAAGAATCTGGGTGTGCTTTGCTTTAAGCCGAGTCCTGCTGTGCTTAAAGCACAAAAATGGAGGTTATGGATGCTGTGATCTCTTGGAACATCAGGGATCCTTTGTCAAATGAAGAGATTATCCTTTTTAGTAGGAAAAAGAAATGGGAGGAATCTTCTCTGCTTTTTTTTTTTAATTACTCTTCTGTTCCTATGTGATACTTCTCTCTACACAGGTACAGGCTATCCTAGTAAACATTTTTGGAGGGATTATGCGATGTGATATTATTGCGCAAGGTATAATTGTGGCGGTGAAAGATCTGGAGCTGAGAATACCTATTGTTGTACGGTTACAAGGTGAGCCCCTCCTTATCCATTTGCTGGGTCTTATTCTTTGCTTCTGCTTTCTCGCTGAGGTGTGCTGGAAGAATATTGTGTGTAGTCTTTTTATGCCCCCCACCCCCAAGGATTTTAATGGCTGAAATAAGCCTACAGGAAATGGGTCACCAGTCCCCCCAATATTGAAATCCTTGGACAGTGGAGAGTATTTTCCTGTCTTAAGCCATATTTTCTTCCAAGAGGACAATGGTGGGCTCCTTGAATCGAGGCTTCTGCTCATGGCAATAACTTGCAGTGTCTGTCTTTATGTTGGGAGCAGGGAGGAAGGTTCTTCTTCACAGTTGAGTTGCGGGTCATTGCTGTGATCCATCAACCTGAGCGGAGATTATAGAGATTTTAGCTAGGAAATGGGCATGAACCAGCTCACAAACTAAAGTTTGTCACAGATTTTTGCTGGTTCATGGGTGAATGTTTCCAAACTGAAGAACTGCCACGAACTTCCACAAATTTTCATGCAGTTTGTGGTGGTTTGTGAAGAGGAGAAAGCAGGGGGGTTAAATGGCTCCCAGCCATTTTAAACCCCTGCTTTCTACTCTTCATGGAAAACAACTGAGTGGCGGGGAGCTCAGCTGTTTTGTTTATATGGCTGGGGGCCTTTTTAAACCCCTGCTTTCTGCTCCTCGCAGCTTTTCGCAAGAAGCAGGAAGTAGGGGTTTAACCTTGAAATGGCTCACAAGCCAATACAAACTGGTTCAGTTTGCAAACCAGCGTATTGATTCATGTTTCAGCCATGAGCCAGGAACCAAACCACAAAAAAATGCAGTTCATGTCCATCCCTAATCTTACCTTGGTGACCCTCAATGAATGACAGTCATGACACTGATTGAAGATTTTGCTGGTGACAAAGGTTTGGGCCTCCTGGGCAAAGGTACTTCTCATCCAGTGAGAGCCAATACGATGTAGTGGTTAGAGTGTCGGACAAGGATCCGGGACACCCAGGTTCGAATCCCCGCTCTGTCATGGAACACTGCTGGGTGACCTTTGGCCAGTCACCCACTCTCGGCCTAACCTACCTCACAGAGTTGTTCAGAGGATAAAACGGAGGACAGAGTGATGTAAGCTCCTCTGGGCCCCTGTTGGGAAGACAGGCGGGATAGAAATGAAGTAAATAATTTCCAGTCCTACAATATGTCTCAGTGTGGCTTGTCCTCCGTTTGTGAGGAGAGTTGGCACGGCAGCTGGCTTTATCAAGGCCTCACGATGATGTCTGTGCCATGCGTCATCCAGAACGACAACATAGTGCTACCACACAGTTGTAGCGTCCCGCGTTGGAACTTAGCAACTAGCAGAGGTCATTTCGGGGGGGGACCCAGTTCCCCCGGGTGAGGTGCAGGGGGCGGGGCACATGACGAAGCCCCACCCCCTGCTTCCGGCCGCCCCACTTCCAGCCGTCATTCAGCCAGGAGGAGGCAGGAGAAGAGGGAGGGTAAGTTGCTTCCTCCCCGCCTCTCCCCACCCCTGCCTGCCTGGGGCCAGGGAGGGCCTTGGCGGGGCTTCCTCGCACTCCCGCTGGCCTTGCAGGTCCACCGCCGGGCCCCTGATGTCAGGGGGTGTGGCATATGCTAATGAGTTATGCTAATGAGTTCCCCTAGCTCTTTTTCTACGAAACGACCCCTGGCAACTAGTATTGACGGGCGTTACCTTGGATTCATAAAATATGAACTCTTAACCATGCAGGCACACGGGTGGATGATGCCAAAGCTTTAATAACAGATAGCGGTCTGAAAATCCTGGCCTGTGACGACTTGGATGAAGCTGCTAAAATGGTGAGCTCAAAAGTTCTTGGGGGGGGGGGGAATCCTTTGCCACAATTTCCTTTGGAGGGGGGGGGGGGGGTGTTAGCGTGCTTCAATGAGTCATTGCTCGCTTGTTTAAACACAGCGGCTCAGATCCAGTTAACAGAGCAGAGAAGAGCTCATGGGAGACCTGCCTGTCCCTCTTCTCCTCTCTTTCTGTTCTTCTCTGGGCCTTCAAAATGTTGGAGAACCTTCAGGAACCGTGTTTAAAGTGGGGTCGCAGTGGGAGAGGGAAATAAGCCCCTCCCCTCCACAAGCTGTTGCTCCACTTGTGGGGGGGGGGGGAGAAGGAATTTTCCATCCCTTTTCGCAAAAGGAATTGCACAGGGAAGGGAAAAGAGAAGAAGAATAGGCTAAGAAACCCATCTCTTGTGGAGTAACTGCCCAGTGCTGCAAGTCGAGTGGCTTTTCTGCTGATTTAATTGTCTGACTTGGCCGTTGAGTCCTAAAGTGCAATTTTCCTGACGGCTGAATCTCAGAGATGCTCATTGAACCCTAGTTAAACAGGAGCTGCGGTGGCTCAAGTGGTTAAGACGCTGAACTGCAGGCTGTGGAAGGTTGGTAGTTCAGCAGTTCGAGACCCAAGTGTGCCGCATGACAGAGTGAGCTCCCATCTCTAGTTCCAGCTCCTGCCAACCTACCGTGTTTTCCCGAAAATAAGACACTGTCTTATATTTATTTTTTCTCAAGAAGACACACTAGGGCTTATACCACAAATGCATAGAAATCCTGCTAGGGCTTATTTTTGGGGTAGGTCTTATTTTCGGGGAAACAGGGTAGCAGTTCGAAAGCAAGAAATTGCAAGTAGATAAATAGGTACCACTTCGGTGGGAAGGTAACAGCGTTCCATGCACCTTGGTGTTTAGTCATGCCGGCCACATGACCACGGAAATGTCTTCGGACAGCGCTGGCTCTTCGGCTTTGAAACGGAGATGAGCACCACACTCCTAGAGTCGGACTCGACTGGCTTTCGAGCAAGGGAACCTTTACCTTTAAACAGCAGTGAAAAAGCTCTTGCTCAGGTTGAGGCTAAGCAGACATCTTTTGGGCCGGGGATCTCCAGAAGATGTTGATCCATAGAGCGTAAAGCTCTTTGAGGGACGTAGTGGAAGAGACGGTCCTGCAGATTTATTTATTTATTTATTTCATTGTATTTATACCCCGCCCTCCCCACGAACAGGCTATGTTAGATATGTTAGTCCCAGACCGCATAGGGCTCTGAAGGTTATAAAACTCCACAAAGGAATCCAGAATATCTTTAGGATTATTAACCATTTCCCCCTTTGAATTTTTAACAGCCATGATCAATTTCCTTTGCTGGCGTCTCTTGATTTTGTTGCTACTTAATGTCTTTCAGGAACCCTGAAATATAGTAATTTACAGTGAAATGTTTTATTGCTCCAGTCCCAACTGATATTGCTGGTTGCAGAATGGCAGCCGATGTCTGCAAAGTTCAGTTGACATTGCTGACTCTGGAATATCTGGCCAAGGTGGCCAAATGCCTACTGCCAGCTCCTGGAATGACCATATATAACTTAACATCAAATAAAGCTCCAAAGTGTTCCAGTTCTTAAGCTATTCTTATCATTTAAGTACACTATTCAAAACAGTTAGTACACAGGCAGGTTAAGAATTTGAAAGAAACTTTACAATCCCAGAATAGACATCACAATTCCAAAGTCGAGAAAAGACTTCACAACTCCAAACCGGACTGAAAAACACATGGAGGTCCATGGAGCCTACTGTTGGTTTTGAATATGTTCTTTGTTTAAACTATGTTTAATTGTTCTGAGCAATCTGTTGGATCAGTGGCTATACACCCTATTGGGTTGTAACCACTAACCCTTCTTTGTATTTCAGTGAACGTAATATATAGTTTTGAACATAGTTGTGAATTGTAGATGGTCTTCCCTTGGTGGATGTTTTTTGTGGCTATACTTTTACACTTGTGGCTATACTTTTACACTCTGATAAGAACTGTTATTGAAAAAGAGCAGTTTCTGTCAGAGTTCTCTCAGCCCCACCTACCTCACAGGGTGTCTGTTGTGGGGAGGGGAAGGGAAAGGAGTTTGTAAGCCGCTCTGAGACACCTCTGGGTAGTGAAGAAATCCAATCGCTTCTTATTCTTCTAAGGGTTCCCTGCTGTCTTTGGCATAAACGTGTTACGGCAAACTCGCTCAATTGCCTGGGGGCTTATTACTAATTGCCAGGTGGTCTACTCACAGCACATGATGGTAGTTCCTACAGCTGGATAAATGAACAAAGAATCCCCGTTGATAGACTCACATGCTTTTTTGGATGATCCCTGTATGGGTGAGGATGTTCCTGATACTTACTTGACTGTAGTAATGTGAAGTTACTTCTGCTTGTGTTTTGTCTTCTAGGTTGTGAAGCTCTCTGAAATAGTGACCTTAGCAAAACAAGCTCAGGTGGATGTTAAGTTCCAGTTGCCCATCTGATGGAGCAGACCGAGGCTCTCCCAATACTGTTCTGTTCTCGTTCCACTCCACCTCCCCTTTATATATGTGTGTCTGTGCAGAGGTTTTAATCCCTTGATATTTACTGTTAATATTCAGAACGTTTTACCATTCATATGAAACCATTGTATCGGTAAGATCTGCTCTTAAAGGCCTGCCTCTCCAGCTCACGGCTACGGAAACAGTTACTCTCAATAACGCTTGTTCATTGTCCAAAGGGAGCTTGATGCTGAAAATGTATTTCTCCCAAATAAAAAAAAAAATCTGAAGCCCACAAGGATTTTTTGTATTTGTCCCAATAATGACTCCACTTGCTAGCGCATCTGTGTGGAAGGCCCACAGTGTGGCGCTCACGAGCTATTTGAAAACCGTTGAGGAACCGTAGAGAAATACTACTGATTGGTAACAGAGGAATGTATCGAGATGACATTGTATATTGAAAAAAAATATATTTATATTCTGCAGTTCAATGAAGTTGAGCATATCACTCACTATTTATGAACAATGTACTTCTTCGCCCCGTGGGGATGGAGCAGAGACTGCGTTGTCCAACCAGAAGGGCCTCCTCGGGAGTAGCTTTTCCAGGGGACGGGAGGAAGTGGCGAAACTCCATTCTGTGAGCCGGAGCCGCGCTCTCTGCCCTTCGCATCCGCCCCAAACACGTTGGAAGCGAAACATGATTTGAGTAGTTGTAATTTAAATCACTACGAAACAATGTACTGTAGTACTTTAAAAGTCTTCTTAATTTCTGCTACATTTAAAAAGTACTATGTTAGTTTTGTACATGAACAAAATAAAGCTTATTTCTTTAGTGCTGGAGCAGACGTACTAAAACTCTTCTTAAAGCAGTTAATAAAATGACCTTAAAAGAAATCAGCCCTGTTTCTCTTTATTTTCATCAGTCTGGTTTTTCAAATAAAATGTAAGTTAAGCAGTGCTGGGCAGGTTGTAAGAATGAACGGACTTAATACAGTATGTTTAATACAGTAATCTTAGTGTTTATTTAGAGCACGGGTCTAAAGGCCCAGGGGTCAGAACCAACCTATCCAGGGCTCTGAACCGCCCGCAAGCAACTGGTATGGATGGAAATGTAAGGTACTCCCCCTTTTATAGTATCCCTTGGGGAAAAAACCTAATCTTACATATGATTAAATACATTTATTGGGGCTTTTGTGGGTTCCCCAGAAAATCAGTTGCTTTCACTGCTAGGAATCAATTGCTTTTGTTTGTATTTTGAGTAAAAAAATAACGTAAATTGGGTTTGCCTGCATCATTTATAAAGTTTATATCTGTAGTACCTGGTGTTAGATTTCATGGCACACATGGCCCGACAACGTGACATTTATGTCAGATCCGGCCCTCGTAGCAAATGAGTTCGACACCTCTGATTTAGAGCGTACAGGGCGGATTGCATCCATTCCCAGTAATGGCTTTATCACAGGAAAGCAGTTCCTCTGTATAAATAGACTGCTGTCCGGTACAGCAAAAGAGGCATGGATATTATCCTGGTCCGAAAACCAAGTGCTAGATGAATCCTGTGGGTTGGAGCCCACCAATCCATTCCACTAACGGTGGCATGTCTGGAAGTGCCACAATCGAGTCCAGGAGCACCTTTTAGAGACCAGCATGATTTTCAGGGTTTAGCTTTTGAGAGTCAAAGCTCCCCTCCTCAGATTTCTGGAAGAGGGTCCCAACCAGGGCTATTTTTGGGCAGGGACGCACAGGAACGGAGTTCCGGCTGGCTCCCGAGTTGGCCACGCCCAGCAGGAACTCATTAGCATAATAGGCCACACCCAACAGCAGAAACTCATTAGGATTGGCTACATTAGGGGGGTGTGGCCTAACATGCAAAGAAGTTCCTGCTACAAAAAAAGCTCTGGGTTTTGACAACAAACAAGGTAGCAAAAGGTGGGTGTGGCTGGATGACCACACTTCTGGTAACATGGGGGTGTGGCCTGATATGCTAATGAGCTGTGCTGTCGGGGTGTGTGGCATAATATGCTAATGGGTTTCTGCTGTTGGGTGTGGCCTGTTATGCTAATGAGTTCCTGCTGGGCTTTTTCTACCAAAAGAGCCCTGGCCCCAACCAATGTTCCCTCTAAGTCAGTGGTGTCGAACTCATTTGTTACAAGGGACGGATCTGACATAAATGCCACTTTGTCAGGCCGGGCCGTGTGTGCCATAAAACGTAATGCTTGGTACCGGAGATAGAAACTGTATAAAGGACATCAGCTGGTAAGCTCTGAGTTGGTGCATCCTAACTGGGGGGGGGGTGCAGAGGAAAACCCACCTAGGCAGACTGGAGAGGCAGCAGTACAGTGCTGGGCAGATGCTCCCACGATGCTTGGCTGCTGCAGACGAGGTGGTTCTGCTGTGCTGAAGCCACAATGGAAGGGCTCCACCCACTTTCCCCAGCATTCCTTGCATCAGTCGCTCACGGGCCGCATAAGAGCCCTAGTCCGGCCCCCGGGCCTTATGTTTGACACCTCTGCTCTAAGCTGTGCACATGAGCAACTGCTCCTTAACACAGGAAGCCTCGCTCATCAACAGTCGTAAGCCATGCCGGGTCTTCCACTGCTCGTTGCCTATTTCAGGCATGTCCAACTTCGAACAGGTAGTGATCTTTTTTTCCCGGCCAAAAGTGCCGGTGATCTACCACCATGAAAATAAAGTTTCAAATTAGATTTTAACCCACTAAAGTTGGGTTCCACCACCCTGCCCCCCCATTTATAATCCACCTGTCATTTACTGGTAAGCAAAATAAGTAAAAACAAAACAGCGAGACGAAGATCCAGAAAGAACTGCGAACATTTTTTATTTTTTATTGAGACCAAGTGGGGCTGGTGATCTACCTCTGACCAATGCTCCCTCTAAGCTGTGGAGTCTTGTGAGCAAAGATTCTACTTTGTGAGCTACCAGCATTAAAGTGGTGAGCGAGCGATTTGGCTGCTGCCTAAATGAGTTTGCTCTGGAGCCCTCCTTCCTGAGCGAAGACAAAAATGTGTGAGCCGGAGGCTAAAAAATTGTGAGCTAGCTCACACTAACTCAGCTTAGAGGGAACACTGCCTCTGACCCCTCCGCGATCTACTGGTAGATCACGATCTACCTGTTGGACATACCTGACCTATTTTAAAGTTACAGGAAATAAGACTCAATGAACACTGTGATGTGATAGCGAAGACATTTAGTAAATCTTTGCATGTTAAACACTGTATTACGTTATAGATAGACAAATCTTTATAATATTACAAGGGAAAGTCCATCCATCTCAATGAGCACACGGATATAGGCTCATTTTTATCCCAATCTTCCTCAGGAGTGATCCTATTATCTTTAGAGGTGTCAGTCTCTTGATACAGCTCAGTGTTATGTTGGGAGCAAGCCAGACCTTAACTTCTTCTGAAAGACTGGGATGAAATGAACGTATATCCAGGTGCTCATTCAGATGGGTGGACTTTTCCTTGTAATATTATAAAGATCTGTTTTATCTATAACGTAATACAGTGTTTTCCTGCTAACCTAGCAGTTCGAAAGCAAGAAATTGCAAGTAGATAAATAGGTACCACTCATCAACAGTCGTAAGCTGTTGGGAGGTAACAGCGTTCCATGCGCCTTGGTGTTTAGTCATGCCGGCCACATGACCACAGAAACGTCTTCGGACAGTGCTGGCTCTTCGGCTTGGAACCGGAGATGAGCACCGCAACCCTAGAGTCGGACTCGACTGGCTTTCGAGCAAGGGAACCTTTACCTTTACCTTTTTAATATAATGTTTAACATGCAAAGATTCACTAAATGTCATAGCCATCCCCCCACAGTGTTTGTTTGCTTCTATCTCCTGTAAGGGTAATTGTGATCCTTCATGTGTGTGTGTTTTTTTTTCATTTGAAGGTTACAGCAGTTGTATTCTGCTCAGTATGTGAAGTCCTCCACTCAGTAGGGGGGAAAATTAGAGGGAACATTGGGACCAATGCTCCCTCTAAGCTGTGGAGTCTTGTGAGCAAATGTTCTACTTGGTGAGCTACTGGCATGAAATGTCTGAGCGAGCGATTTGGCTACTGCATAAATTAGTTTGCTCTGGAGTCGTCCTTCCTGAGCTGAGACAAAAAATGTGAGCCGGAGGCTAAAAAACTGAGCTAGCTCACACTGACTCAGCTTAGAGGGAACACTGATTGGGACTCCCAACTTTAGGTCACAAAGGCTTTTGCTGTATATGCAACAGTCTGTCCTATTCAAAGGTGTAAAGAATGGCTATTAGACATGTAGATACAGGGGTCATTTCCTGCAGGAGCACACAGGAGCGGAGCTCTGGCAGTAAAGAGCCCAGGGGGCGGGCACATGCAACAAGCCCCGCCCCCTGCTCCCAGCAGCCCTAGGCCATGAGGAGCATGAAGCAGCCAGGTAAGTTGCAGTGGGCGCTGCCCTCTGACACACATCTGGTGATATCAGGGGGTGTGGCATATGCAAATAAGTTATGCTAATGAGTTATGCTAATGAGCTCCTCCACCTCTTTTTCTACGAAATGACCCCTGTGTAGATATAAATTATTCGGGGTGAGGGTGAGAATGACTTTGCCCCCACTGAACAGAAGACACCTTCCAGGTAAGTCCAGCATTTCATTCTCGGCACATCTGGGATGGTCTTCCGCTAAGCGTCCTGGATACACATACACGAAACTTTTCATGATTCGTGGCTGCATATCTGTATCGTTCTTCCTCTTCGATGGCAGATGTGTTTGCAGATGTGTTTGCAGCGAACACTCAGTGTGGAAATGCCCTTTTCAAGGAGTGAAGTGACATTTTTTCAGTTTATACCAACAGCTGCTGTTTTGAACAAGGATAAGTGTATAATTTAGGGCTGACAATTTCAGGTTGGGAAACGGCTGGAGATTTGGGAGTGGAGAGACCTCTGTGGGGTATGATGCCTCCAAAGCAGATATTTTCTCTAGGGGAACTGATCTCTTGTCATTTTGAGTGGCATTACAGGAGGAGCTCCGAGCTATACCTGTAATGTATAGTAGTTGTGTAGTTTAGTAGTAGTTTAGTAGTTGTGACGTTAATGTCGCCTGAAGATACCCGCTGAAGTCGAAAAGCCCACGTTTTCCACCACTACCTGAATGTTTCTGATTGGAATAGCTTTTAACGATTGGGATTTAAAACATGTCTTTGTAGCTAAACTGGGATTTTAAGCCTTTGAGGCTTTATTTGGGATGTTGGGGAAAGAAGTTGTATAGTGTATAAAGGTAATTGGGTTAGGGTTGCTGCCAATTGCGTATGCGTGCTTTTAAGTGCTTGTAACTTTTTGTAAGCCGTTTTAGGAGCATTTCAGGCTGAATAAGGGATTGGATTTATACCCCGCCCTTCACTCAGAGTCTCAGAGCGGCTTACAAACTCCTTTCTCTTCCCCTCCCCACAACAGACACCCTGTGAGGTAGGTGGGGCTGAGAGCTCTGAGAGAACTGTTCTTTCAGGAACAGCTGTGCCAGAACTATGCTTTGCCCAAGGTCATCCAGCAGCTGCAAGTGGAGGAGTTAGGAATCAAACCCACTTCTCCCAGATTAGAGTCCGCGCACTTAACCACTGCACCAGAGTGGCTCTTATTGTATGGGATAAAAATATGTATGGGATAAAAATATTGCTAAAGAACTACGTTGTGAGAACTTTCTGCTGATTTCCCATGGCCAGGTGGGAAGCCTGTTCCCATTGGCCGATCCCAGATTGGTGCATGACACTGTCTCTTCTCACAGCCCTGCCTGGAATAAAATGCCAAAGCCAGACTTTTCCTCCTCCTCTTATTATTTTATTTATTAAATTTGTTAATTGCCCTATGCCAGCTTCTGCCAGGCTCTGGGCGATGTATA